AAAAGCTCATTATACTCTCGACTCTTGTTCATTAAACATACTTTTTCATACAGTACCTGCCAAAAGTTTTGTTCAACCATGAATAGGAGTGCGAGTCGAAAACAAGCGTTAAAGCCTTTAATATGTCTTCAAATATAAATAAACATCTCGTTGATATTTTCAGTAGTAAATGATACCAATAACAGCACATTTGAGCAATGCAATTGTACTGGATAAAATGGTCAATTTTTCCGTGCAGTACTGTACGGATTATACGCTCCTCACCGGTGAAGAGTTTGGCCGAGAGTTGTCTCCTTTCTTTTCTGGCCTGGTGCTGTTCTTTTCTACTTTGCGCCGGCCAAACTGAAGGTCACATCGCTACAGAAACTAAACGAAGTATATTAGAGACGCTCGAAATGCAGTCTCCTTGCTTCCAATGCAATGACAAAGGCTAAACGGATTAACGATATGCCTTTGCTCAATCCAGCGGCATCAGTCGGTACATCGGCTTGCAAACCTCATAAATACGTGTAATATGTTTATTTTTTAACTTTTACATTCAGCTGCCATTTGGTTTGTTTCATTTAAAAATTCAAGGGGATGCAACTGGTCATTTGCTCTCATTAGACAGTCACCACTGACTAGATGTGCAAATGTTTGTATAATATATACTGACCGATCGAATATTGCTGACGCACTCAGAGTATCTGTCTCTATACGTGAGACTTGTCCACGAGAGGCTTTTGCAGCTTGTCCTGCGGATTAATGCACGAATGTAGGTGTACAAATCCACACACATACGTGCACGTAAAATAGAAGTCGTGTACTAAGCCTGTCGGAAACACGTCACCAACTGACCAATAAATAATAGCAGTGGCATTACCACTAGATGTATGGTAAATGTGAGAATAACGCATTGGTTGTTTTGGACCACAAATGACCGTTTCTAATGTTATCGCCTATTCAGTTAACTATTCTATATGTACATATTATTAGTGAGAGTGGTTATAATAACATCTGCTATCGTTATTTAGGAGTAATGATGAGTAAAACCGCTTTTGGTCTTGCTATACCATTTCCAATTTCGTCACAAATGTTAGACTAACTTAATTCTTTTATTAATGGGGTTATAACTAAGACATAGACGAAGACATTATCATCAAGACCAAGTCTAAATCTTTATCTACGAGACTGGACCCATTAGTAGACGTGAACTTGAAAAAATTATTTCAGATTCTATTTTACTATTCAAATTCTAGTCCTGGTCTCCTCTAAAACAAAACTAAAATCAGACTTGCAATAATATGACTAAAACTAAGACTAAATCCATATAAGTGATGTGTAAAGATGATATTGATATTGTCAAAAGCACCACACTTGACTGTAACTTGTCCATATGAACAAAATCAGAAAACGGAAGAAAACTTAAATCATCTTAATATTGCTATTTTTTTTAATATTTCTTTTAAGCATTAATGTGAATTAATATTCAACCCTCTACAGATTATCAGAGCGTCTAAAGTGGCGAGGGTGTGACAACAGCAAAATTTTTCCCCATTAATTTGAGGTTATCTGTAGAGGGTTGAATATTAATTTACATTAATGTTTAAAAAAATTATTTACTACTGGATAGATTTTGATCAGCCTTTGTAGTTTTATTGTTTAGAGGTTTAGACGCTTCGTCTTTATCTCCAATAAAAATTAGCTCGATATCAAGTTTTCATACATGCAGATGACAACGATAGCCTTCGTGAAATGTGCCAGGCACAACCACCAAAAAAGTTTTACTAATTAATTGTTTTGAGTTTTAAGGATTCTTTTTACCCGTAAGGCACTAAAAGGTCGTTAGCGTAATGACTTGTTAGTCGTAACAGTAGTCTACTGTTTTACTAAAATATCAACGTGGAGACATGGAGAACCTTTTTTCTACAATCACCCGGGTATTTAACAACAGTAATATAAACATACAGAAAATCACAAACTAATATTATAAATTAGCGCGCAATTTAAAATAATAAATTAAAGTTCATTTAATAAATATTCATAAATAACTGGTTCTTCCCCCTGCTCCCGGCCATTTTTATTGCTCCCGGCCATTTTTATTGCTCCACTATGACGTTGTATCGGCCATCATTCTTTTCTAATTGTTGCAGTTGTCGGCCATCATTCTTTTTCAATTGTTGTCGCATTGTCACTGATGTCGGCCATTATGGTTTTTTAATAGATGTATAGTAATCAATGATTAAA